GCGGAGGCCTCCCCTCTTGTCCACGGCCACCACTGTGCTGGAGGTGGTGCCCAACCGGTTGGTGTCACCCAAAGGAGCTGCTGAGGAGGTTCATGTCCCATCTGATGCTTCAGCATGGACACCGACAGGTGCTCCATCCCAAAGCCCCAGCACAGGGGATCAGCCCGGAGGTGAGCAGGCATCCCCTGACCACCAGACCCCGCTCTGCAGAGCGGATCTCAGCCTAGCCATGAGCTCTCAGCCTCCTGTGGCGCTCACGGCCAGTGACTCACCTCCTCGGGCCGGAGCTGTGGCAGCAGCGCGGGGGCCCAGCAGCACACCTGTGTCCGATCCGTATACAGCCGGTGGCTTCTCTGGTGGCCAGCATGGAGCTTCTGTTGCTGGAGCCATGAGGAGCTGCAATGAGCAGAAGGATGAGGTGAGACCAAGCCCTGGCTTGCCTGGGGATGAGGACCATGCTGCTGCTCCTCACCTGGTGCCCCTTCCAGAGGTGCCATCAGAAAGGGCATCCAGCTTGACCAAAACGCATCCTGGCACTGTGTGGGAACCCTCTGCTGTGACACCCCAGACGCTCTGGGACACGCAGCCCACTGGCACCTTCCTGCGTGGCAAAGCTGCTCTGCTGCTGGATGCTGTCTTGGCCAAGATCCCAGGAAATGGGTCTGGACTTCTAGCCACTGTCTCGGCACCTCCTCCCAGTGCTGCGTCAGCTCGTGGTGTCGGCCGCCTGCGAGTGCTGGATCCCTCCCTTCCAATGGCAGGATCTGAGGAACCTGCTGTCACCTTGGAGGAGCAAAGTGACCTGTCTTCCTCCCCTGTGTGGCTGACTCTGCTGACCTCCACCAAATCCCACCTTTCTGCCTGGACCAGGGCACCCCAGACTGGGGTGAGCTCAACAGCCCCTGATGCCATCCCAGAGCCCGGAGTGACTGAATCACCCTGCAAAGATGGAACTGCTATGGTGGCTTCCCCCTCTCCAAGAGCTGCAGATGTGACACGTGCCACTCTCCTGGGGTCACCTACCCAGTGGTCATCTCTGCGTCCAGACCCCTTCCTCGTAACAGTATCCAAGGATGCACCCACAACAGGACAACACGGGACCACGAGGATGCTGGGGACGAGCGTGCTGCCTGGATGGGTGGCTCCAGCAGAAGCAGCCGAGCACAGTGAGCCCAGGACGGCATCAGCAGCACCAGCTGCTGCTCCAGCAGGACCTCCAGGACCCACCCATGCCAGCCCAAGCTCTGCACCCCCTCCCAGCTCCAAGGACCCTGCTCCAGAGCGTTGCTCTGAGGCTGTGCACCACACCAGCACCACAATCTTGCTATCTCCACCCAACCTGTTGGCTTCCACTGGGGTGGTGCAGGCAGCCAGCTCCCTGCTCAGCTCTCAGACCTCAGCTGCACTAGCAGGAACGACGCCAGATGCTCAGTCCATGCCCAGTCACTCCATCACCTCCCAGCACCCCTCTGTAACCAGAGAGCATCACCCTGTGGCTGCAGGAGAAGCCTCCACCCCAGCTGAGCTGATGACTATGGGCACACCTGACTCCTCAGGGGTGAAGCCCCCTGTATCCCACCCCTCTCCTGCGCAGCCTCTGCCCGTGCACGTGCTGCCCTTGCAATTCCGGCTGTTGGACATCCCTTACAGCGCGGCTCTGAGCAGCAGGGCTTCAGGGAGCTACAGGGAGCTGGAGGAAAAAGTGATGCTGATGGTGAGTGTGGGAGATGGTCGGTGGAGATGGTGGTTCTTTTGGGTGTGTGGTGCAGGGGGGAAGCAGCTGAGAAGCTGGTGCAGCAAGCCCTGTGGAGGTGAGGAACCTGCATCAGCCTTGGCTTGGTCTGTCACCCACCTGGGCATGGTGGGGGTGAGTCAATCCCTGGCACTGCTCAGTGGGAGCTGGCCTGGGGTGCTCGATTCGAGGTGGGACTGGGCTCCCCTCGCCTCTGGCAGCTAGGAGAGCTGTTGCACGTCGTGTCAGTGCTCGGGTATTCCCTCCTGGCTGACGGCAGCCCTGGGCACACCAGCTCAGCCATGACCATCCCCAGCATGTCCTACCCTCGGCCAACAGAGCGACTGCCCTCGGTGTTTGTTGCACACCTCCTGGTATGTGCCCTCTTCATGCAGGGGGATTGGCAAAGAGCCCCCCCATTAATGGGTGCTTCTTTCTTCCAGCTAAACCAAATGCTGTCCACCTACAAGACCTTCCTGTGGGCAAACATCCTCGAGTTCATGTGAGTATGCAGCTCTGCCCTGCGGCAACAGGCAGAGAGGGGTGGGTTTGGCTTGGAGGGATGGGTTTGCTTGGCAAAATGCTCCAGATGGGTCTTGTGAGCGGCCACACTCCCTCCCTGGGGTCATTGTCCCAACGGATCCTCGTTGGAAGTGTTTGAGGCTCTGGACAAAGCCTCCTGAGACCTCTCTGTGGGTGGGGTGTTAATGTGGGGAATGATGGGAGCAGCTTTAGATCCCCCCCTCCCAAAGAGGAGGTGGGCTGCCCATCATCTCATCTCTCTCCCAGGAACGGTTCGGTGGTGGTGCGAGCGGAGGCTGTGTTCCGGGGGGATGCTCCTGCTCCCACCAACTCCCACCTCATCCGGACAGTCGTCACAGAGGCGAGCAGGGGAAGGAGCACCTTCAGCTGGCAACTGGAGCCACAGTCTGTCCAGTCCAGTGGTAAGCTGCGGAGATTCTCCTGCAGCAGAGTGGCTGCTGTCAGTGTCCTCCCTAGACATCCATCAAAGCCAAAACCCACCTAGTTTGGACTTCAGGCTTCACCTTCACTTAATGTCCTCTCTTCTGACTCACACAAAGCCCTCCAGTGCTGAGGATGCTGGAGACCACATCTGCAGCGTGTCAGACCTGTGTGGTCTAGTGCTTCTGCTAAACTCTCTGGCTTCCCCTCCTTGACCTGCTTCTCCTCTCCTGGGAGGTGGCACATACCAAGCCCTTCCCACCACAAAAGGGATGGGGTCCTCATCTTCACTCAGCTGCCCTGCTGGCTTCTACTTTCAGTCTCTGGCAGAGGATGAGTCCAATTAATATCTCCCAAGAAAGATGGAGGAACAGGCATGGGCATAACTGTCTTCTGAACTCTTCTAGGCTTTAGCCTGGAGAACCTGGACCCGGAGAAGCTGTCCATCTCTTTCACTGTCGTCCACCTCGGGAGGAGCAGGGCAGAACACCTGGAGGGGCTGAATAGTGAGGTATGGTGAACCTTGGTGGCCCTTCCAAAGGATGATGCAGGGGACTTGTCCCATCACGGGCACAGGCTGGCTGCTGCACTGCCTGTGTGGTGGGACCATGTCTGCTGAAGGAGGGGCAAGGTGTGAGCCTGTTGTCCCTTCATCTAGGTGGTTCAGTCTCTCAGTGCCCTCTACCATGTGAGGAACTTCACTATCACTCAGCTCAGGTATGGGACCAACTGCTCCTTTCCAAAGCTCTTGGTTAAATTACCTTTGCTACCTCTTGTGCCACCTGCTCTCCTGCCTTGCTCAGAGCCCTTCTCTCCCCTTAGGAACCTCAGTGGAGACCTGGACATCACTGGAGAGATCTATCTCGACACGATTGCCCATGCTGATGTTGCAGAGATTCTACAAGCCTTGACAGCTCTTGCAACCTACTCTGTGGACCTGACATCCCTCTCAGTGGAGGGTAAGGATGGTCCCTGTGTGTGGCAGGGCTTGCTGCAAGCTCTGCTCACCTAGCAAGTGTCTCTTGCCTCTTCAGGAGCCAGGCTGCACCTCCAGGTTTACCCAGTCTCCTTCCTCATCACCAACAGACACTTCAGTGAGGACCTTATGGATCCACTTGCTATAGGGCACCAGGAGCTCTCCAGAGACCTTGGTTATGTGGTAGGCATGGCTGGTGGGATGGGGCTGGGGTCCTCCTGGGTGCTGAGAAAAAGAGGCTGAGGACCACTGGAGGAAGAGGGACTGCTTTGGGGTTGTCCCAACCAGACCCTCAACTCCATGGCTGTGGTAGAAACCTGCTGAAGGCAGGTTCTGAGGCTTTAGTGGCAGGTTATCTCTGATGGTTCTTCTGGCCACTGCAATGCATCCAGGGACCTGGAGGTGCTGCTGGACCACTGCTGCTCCATGTCCTTGCTTTAGTGGTTGTCCCAGCTCTGTTGTGGCTGTGGATGTGGTGGTCTGTCTGGGTGAAATGCTGGGTGAAATGCTCTGAAGGCTGGTGGGGAGCTGAGTAAAACCTCTCTTCCAGGTGGCAAGAGCTCTGAGGAACCACAGGAGCTTCCTGCAAGTGGTGATAAGAGGATTCTTGTGAGTGGGAGCAGAGGGTCTGCCTGGGCAGGAGGGAGGGATGGGGGTTTACAGATCCAGGGAGGTCTCCCTGAAGATATCAACCAGCAGATCATGGCTGTTGGGTGTATCATATTTGCCACAGAAGGGTTTGCAGCAGGCCAAGTGTTGACCCACTGTCTCAGGAGTGACTTGCCAGACCCCCAGCGATGTCCCTTTGTCCCAAAGAGCAGATGCAAGACCAAAGCCTCCCTGAGTGCGGAGACACCATCCTGGGGCCCCTCTGAGCAAAACCAGCTGTCAGTCGTGGGATGTGTGTGTGTGGGATGATGTGATGTGTGGCTGTGGGATGATGGTGAGACTTGGCAGCTGCTGGAGCTCTTCCCACCCCTGTCTACAGGCCTGGCTCCTTGATCTGCCATGGGGACCTGGTCTTCCAGCACCCTGCTCCAACCAGCCTGGAGGTTTTGGAGGCACTCGTGCTCTCGGTTGGGCCAAACAAGGCTTTAGCTGGTTCAGACTTCCAGGTGGACCCATACTCTCTTGCTGTGGGAGGTAAGATTCCCTTTGGGGCATGGGAACACAAGCTTCACCCATGTGTGGCTCCATGCCTGCAGCCTGAGCAAAGCAGATCCATGACCAACTAGATCCAGATCCCTTATGCAAAGGGAGGGTTGAGATGTCTTGGCTGGAGAGGTGACCAGCTTGTGATGGTTGATCTGAAAGTACAATTCCAGAAACAACCATGCCCTGTCCCTCTGCACAGGTTTTTTTTTGGGGGGGGACTGAAGCTGGAGGGACCCACCTGCTGCATGCTGGTGTAGGGCAGGAGAGAAGGGTTATCCAGAGAGGGCACAGAGGGTGTCAAATACATGTTATTGGCATCTCATATGGGTGGGTGGCCCCCACCCTGTGGGGCAGAGCCCTCATGTCCTCCATCCTGTTATAACTGCTGCTTTCCACTCTAGAGGACACCCTGGAGCCTCCCCTGCCTGAACCAGGCTTCCCTGACTATGGTGTGGCCATCCTGGTCCTGTGCAGCCTCTGCATCATCACTGTTCCCGTCATCTTGCTGGTGGTAAGGGTGACATCTGTCTGTCCGTCCGTCTGCTGGGTTGGATGGACACAAGCTGGGGTGAAGCAGCCACAGACCCTGTGCAAGGGGAGTGCAGAGTAGAGGGACCAAGTGTGGCTGCAGCCTCCATGTTCTCCTCCCTAGTGTCTGCGGGTCAAGAGGCTCAGCTGGCGGGACGTGGCAGTCCTCTGGGACAGGAGAGACCCTGAAGCGGGGACCCAAACTCTGGAAATGGATAACCAGGGGTTCTGGGCAGCCTCTGAACAGGCAAGTGGCCTTTGGTCCCTGGAATTCATTTTTGTGCCTTGGAACTGGGGGGACACAGGTCCCTGTTGTACTTGGTGCTGGTCCTGGGTGATGCCAGGAGTTGGGGACCCCCTTGGGAGGTGGGCATGGTGACTTCTCCCTCCTCTTGCTTGCAGGACACTGAGGATGCTTAGAGACACTGGCAAAACAACTCTGCCTGATGAGAGAAGATGCAGCTGATGGGGGAGGGAGGGGGGAGCCCAAATGGGGGGTCTGTTGAGGGGGAGAGATGCTGAGAAGAGTTACCTCTGCTCATTGGGCTGTGGCTGCCATGTGCCCCTTGAGAGGATGCAAGCTCAGAGGCTTAGAGGAATGACTTTGTATGTTAAACTTTAATAAACTCTTTGTAGGATGTCAAACCTGGCTGCAGATGGTCTTTGCTGCTCCCTCCTTTACACCCAGCCTTGCCTTAAGAGCTTCAAGCTCTTCCTCCACAGACCTGGCTTTGAGCTTGGTCTTTTCCAGCTCTTGATGAATGTGTTGGGTTTTTTTCCCCACTCAAAAGCTTGGGGTTTTGTGTGTTTTATTTTGTTTTGTAGGTGTTTGGGGTTTTTTTTTCCCCTCCTTGTGTGTGGGAAGGGGCTCTGCATGGAGGCAGAAACCAGGCTCTACTTAAAGACACTCACTTCAAAAAGAAGTTTCAGTTTTTATTATTTTTCATTTTATTCTATAATTGAAGGTCATCCCGTCCTGCTCTCCTCCAAAGCTGCCTCTCTGTAGTGAGGGGCAAAACTTGCCCCCATCCTGCTTGTGGGGTGCTTGTACCCTGGGAGGGCTGGTCCGGTGGGATGCTGTGGGCAGGGATGTGCTGAGCTTCTCCTCCTTTCCAAGGGGGAGAGGGGTTAAAACCAGCCCTTCCTTCTGCTCTGCAAAACAAGGAACCCACTTAGTGCTCTTCACCTTCCACCCTCCCCTGCCAGCTCCTGCCTGGAAATGACCCACAAGCAGTGGGTTCCGTGGAAGGGGAAGGACCTGCTCCATCCTCAAACCCTGAGAAAATCAGAACTTGGGTGCCTGAAGGCACAAAGCAGCTGCTGCTTGTCAACTCAAATCTGTAGGGTTGGCTTTGCAAATCAAGGACTGAGAACTTCCTCAGAACTGACTCACCTCCTCTCTTGGATGCCACCTACCCCCAGCACGTGAGTGAAGAGTAATAAGTGTAACCCAAAGCCTGACCAGACCAGTCCTGTGGTGCTTAGGAGGAAGAAAGGAAGCGATTCTATAGAAATGTCTTTAAATGACAGTTTTCTGTAAGTGACACCCAAGGTGCAGGCAGGAGCCAGCTGACCTGCAGTGAGAAGATGAAGCACATCAAGAAAGGGGGAATCCCAACAACTGGTGTGAGAGTCAGCCTGAAAAAGACAAACCATAATGATGAAAAAGAAGGCAGGGGGGAAAAAATATATACATCCTGATTTATCTAGAAATGACATGGCAGGGCTGTTTGGCAGCGGAAAGTCACTAGGGTGAACGACTGGGGCCTGCTGGGTCCCTGCCTGCTGCCCTTGAACCCCA